AGTAAACCTCTACCACGTTGCATCGCTCCCATGCAGCGCTGAACAGCAGGAGATGCCAGCAGAACGTGGGGGCAGTGGATTGAAGGGAGGCGTGGGGGTGGACGGTGGCAAGTAGGCGGGTAGAATAGAAGTCGCGGAACAGATGGGGAAGGAAGGGATGGGAAGGGAAGGTGACGGGGGTACGGATCTGCTCGAGGGTGAGGAAATCAAGGGGTTGGCGGGACAGCGTCCGAGGACGAAGGCCTATCGCCCGCATCGGTACATGGGGGAACTGGGAGACGGGTGGGGCTGGAGGAGGAGGGGGATCGGCTCCGTCTCCGTCGCGCGGTACTTGAGGTGGCAGCTGCAGGGTTGCCATCTTTGGGCTTCGGCGGCTCAGGATCCCTGGTCGGATCGTTACCGATGTGCAGGCTAGCTTCGCTGGCGAACTCCAGCTGGCGCTTCCCGGTGGCAATTTCTTCGCGCTTTCGCGCAGCTTCCGGATCTTCCGCCTCCGTTCCCATACGCGTCACTTCCTCCGGCAAGGCTTCCCACTCAGATCTGGTTTCTTCTTTCTCCTCTTCTCCTTTGCTCAGCTCGCCCTCACTATGTTCACTATAGCTTCCCTCCTCCAATGTTTCCTCGTCCTCGTCTTCTTCGTCGTCGTCGATCACCACTTCCTCCACCCTTGGATAAAAGGCGTGAGGGATGATATCGTACGGCTTGAGATACTCCTGCCACGATGGTAGCGTATCCTCGTCCCTAGGTTCCTCCAAGCACGCAGTCCACTGAAGGTACGGATCCAATGATCGTTCGAAAATGTACGGAGCAGGACTGTCGTCACTCTGTGAATAGATGTCGGGCGAGAGATCGTCCGCCAATTGCACGATCGGTGCGATGAACTTCTGCGCAATCAGCTGGCGGCGCCCCGGCTGTACTGATCCAAAGAGATAGCCAAGAAGATCGCCCTCCACGTTAGTCCTCCAAGCTTGGATGATTAGCAGCTCCGGATTTTCGATCCACGCAGGATGCCCGCTGGTCTGTGTCCACGTCACCTGTATTCTGGCCAAGCAGAAAGATAGCTCCTCAAAAGTTTCGCGCCACAGCCGCCAATGTCCAGGATTGATAAGAGGGACTGAGAGAGGCTCGAACGAGAAGGAAAGAGAAGGATGAAGATCGGATTGCCAGAAGGTGGGGAAGAGAGAGGGGAGACCAAAGATAGAGAGAGGAGCGAGAAGATCGGCGTGGTTCATTGGGGATGTGGGAAGGGGACGAGGGTTGGGATCGCAACTGGCCGCTCGTGCGGTGATCGGCGAATATCGCCAAGATCCGGTGCAAAGATCGGGATGAGGTTATACCCCTGTCGCGCGAGGACGTGCTACCACACGTTGGACACTTGCTCCGTCCACTCGCTCAGCGAGGTCAAGATCGCGGTATGCCACTGCGGATTGACCGAGCTGATGTCGCCGCTGAACGCCACAATTGTGGTGATGTGGCTCGTTTTGGGACCCGCTCGCCGATGAACTGCGGTTACCTCCACGAATACTACTGCGTGAGGACTTCCTTCGATTCAAAATGCGGCGGCGGCACAGATACCTTCGTCGCAGAAGAATCGCATCAAACACCGAAGATCAGCATTGAGCCGAGGGTGACAAACTTGCCAAATCTCTGAGATGTGGCCACGTGGCTACAACAGTTGTGCGTCAAGAACCCGCTCCGTGATAAAACTCATGGCGAGGTGGGGGAGGATGTCGAAGGACAAGAGGGAGAGAGCGGAGAAAGGGTTAGATCGTCGTCGTTCTCCTTGCTTTCCGAGGAAGAAGAGGGAGGAAGATCGGAAGGAGGAAGGAGATGGAGGTAGGAGATATACCGGACGATGGGGACAGAGCTATGGATGGCACTAGCCTCAGGCGCGATGCGCACCGTGTTGGCGCCGTTGGGTCCGAGCTCRACAACGCGAAAACAGCCAGAAAACTTGGGAGCGAGTTTCCGGTCTCGTGCACATTTACGTACCTGCACTAGGTCCCCTAATTGATATTGATGTTGGGGCCCAGCATTTCCATTCCGAGCCTCGTAGCTACGGACCTGTCTACCGTGGGCCAGTTCGGTCATCCTTTGCCTTTTTCGGGCTAGCTTCGGGACGGCCCGTTCCATTAATTTGGTGTACCTTTTGCCCTTGGCCTTGAGAGCTGCACGCGTGTCTCTACCCCCTGCTTCGGCAATTTTCGAGTTACCCCAGTAGTCGACACAGGGGAGGCTATTAGTTCGAAGCTAAAAAGGGGTAAACCCCGTGGACTCGTGAGGGGTGGCCCGGTGGATCCCGACTATCTGATATACGATCTCGGGCCAAGGATGCGTGTCATGTGCCACTAAGTTCCTGCGAAGGGCGATTTTAATCATACGGTTGGCATTTTCGGCCAACCCGTTTGACTGGGACACGTGGGGTGCCGTATGTCGGAGCGTGACGCCCCGTCGCGCAAGCAGTTCTTCTACCTCACCCTTGAATTCAAACCCGTTGTCGGTAAGAATTTCTTCCATATCTAGATGGGTATAGAGGAACCGTTCGATGTACGTGGCTATTTCTGCGGCTTTTCGGGTCTTACAGGGATAGACTTCGATGTACTTGGAAAAATGATCTATTAATACTAGCAAGATGAATATTCACAGCGGTTTGGGCCAGGTGGCACGTCGATATCTGTCGTGTCCATACTGACTCGCTGGAAAGGACGCTCTACTTCCGTTGGTACGATCGTGTTTGGTCCCTGTATAGGGGCGCGATCAGCGGCACAGACCAGACCGTTAGCAACAATGTATTTGACATCATCTCGTATATTGGACCAGAACCATCGGTTCTGATCTACAGTTGCCTCCGTGACAAGTATTGTGAAATGAGCGGCCTGTTCTTCGTGAGCAGATCAGATCCAATCATATCTCTGGAATGGATGGGGAACCGTCAACCACGAGCCCGATCCGTCTGTTTTATGCTTTTCCAAATGACGGTTGACCCATCGATAGTCGCGAGATCTCTCGGTCGCCCTACGTCTGTCGTGTTTGGTGAGGTGGCCCAATGATAATCCCGCTAATTTCGCCAGTAAAATTTTATCCGTCCAAACCTCCGCTCGTCGGTATTTTTTGTCATATTCAGGGTCGTCCGTACGGGCGGCCTCGAATCGAACCTCCGTGGGGAGTTTGTTCGTTCTACACAGGGCGCACCTCCATTCCTTGCTATTCGTCCGATATCGAACGCAGGCCCCGTGCGCACGATTGACACACGTGGCACATTCTACCCAGTCCACAAACCCGGTTTCGAAAGAATGACAGTCGACCCCATAGACCCGTGCAATGCACGTGCAAAAATAACAGAATTTATCGGGGAGGGTGGCAAAGAAAGTTGAGGACGTGAGAGGGGCAAAATTCGTAGGAGAGGAAGGGGTTGCGGAGTCAAGTGGGGTAGTCATGATGACAGAGAAGGAAGGGATGCAGAGAGGGTAGAACAGACCAATTAGTCCTCGTGTCACTCACTGCTTCGATAAGATCTTCGCTTGGCCGTACCGAGGTCCGATCTCCTGTTCGGGTTCGTTCCACGGAATCACCTCCTCACTCTTCGGAACTTTCTCGGGTCGGTGCGGTCGTGTCAGTCCGTCCACATTCCCGTGTCTCTCGTGCTTCCGATGACGAATGTCAAAGTCCATGCTCTGCAGCACCGTTGCCCATCGCCCGATCATGCCAGAGTAATCCTTCGATTTCTTCAGAGCCAACCAGGGCTCATGATAAGTTACCAAGGTGAACTTTCGCCCGTACAGGTAAGCGCGAAAGTGGTTGATTCCCCAGAGAGTCGCGTAGCATTCTTCCATTGGAGCGGCGTAGTTGCACTTTCAAGCTGGCACCGATTTGGAGGCATACTCCACCACACTCTCGAGTCCGCTTGGTCCCACCTAGGCAAGAATCGTCGAAATTGCCTCTGGCTGCCAGTCAGTGATGAGAACAAAAGGCTTTTTGGGATCCGGTCTTATAAGGACCGGAGCCGAAATGAGAGCGGCCTTGAGTTTTGAAAACGCTTGATCGCATTCCGGCGTCCAGATCAACGGCTGATCTTTGCGCAGCAGATTCGTGAGGGGTCCTGCAATTGCTGCGAAGCCCTTGATAAATCTTCGGTAGTACGAGGCTACGCCCAAAAAGGCACGAACTTGCGTGATAGTTGTAGGCACCGGTGCATCCTTGACAGCTGCCACCTTCTGTGGCTCCGGCTGGAGTCCCTTGTCTGTCACCACGTGCCCTAGGAAGGAAATGGTGGTGAGAAAAAATTGACACTTCTCAAGAGCCACCTTGAAGACCGCATCTCGTAACGCGTGCAGTACCCATTCGATGTGCTGCACGTGTCCCTCGTAGGAACTCGAATACACCAAGATATCATCCATGTACACAATCACTCAGTAGTTGATGATGCTCTGTGCCAAACGAGTCTTTCTCACGAAATTATGAAAAGCCGTGCTCATGGCCCGCTGAAAGGTCGCGGGGGCGTTGCAGATACCCATTGGACATCGAATCCACTGACACGTGCCCTCGAAAAGTACAAACGCTGTTTTTGGACGATCTTTTTCTCGAACAAGAAGATGATGGAACCCATGGCGAACATCAAACTTGCTGAAAAATCGAGCACTCCCAATCGCATCCAACAACTCATCAATCCGGGGGAGGGGGTACATATCTTTGATCGAGATATCATTCAACTTTCGATAATCAATGCAAATGCGAATCCCTCCGGCCTTTTTAGGCACGATTACTCCGGGAAAAGACCAGGGACCTATGGCGGGTTCGATCCATCCATTAGCTTCGAATTCTTTAATCCGCTGAAAAGCGGCCGCTCATTGAGCTAGCGAGTATCGGTAAGGAACGCAGCTAATGGGTGGATGGTCTCCCGTGAGAATGGCATGCTCGATCACATTAGTTAAGCCTATGTCATTATCGTGTATGCTCAATACTTCTGCGTAACCATTTAACACACAGATTAACGACTTTTGAAGTTTCGTGGAAACGTGACTCGATAAGGTAATTGTTGATTCCCCAGAAATCTCAAGGGGCAGATCAACCCAATCGACCGGCCGTTCCTGTCGATCATAGACAGTAGAGAAAACGGAACTACTGGTGCGAACAAAGAAGACCGTTGCTATCATCTAGGACTCAGCGGGGCTAATCATCTCTGTTTCTTTAGTTTCAGCATCAGTCTCTGAACCAACCGAGGTCGGTTCTACAGTTAGCCCCGTTAGATCCGTCATTTCCTTCATCAGATAAGGTACATCACTTATCGGTGCTTCCGCCTCTTGTTTAATCAAAGCGATGGTGACTCCTGTCGTTAGTAACAGAAACATCCAAGTATTGTTTCGTTTGCTGATAACGCATTCGTAAGGAGAGAGCTCCTTCGTACAAGGTGCGAGGGGGTTCCGAATCATCGGTCAGGTCAGATACTTGTAATATAGGTTCCCCAAGCGGGACCGAAGGACTAACTTGAGTTATCGAAGGCGCAAGCGCGCTGTCTCCTGAATCCACGTGGAAGCTTTGAGCAGGGTCGGGGCACACTTGGAATTCTTCGGGAATTTCGTGTTCGAACAGTTCAACCAGGTGCTTCCATTCATCTTCGCTAGGCAGCTCTCCTTCGTATTCTTGTTCCCTGATTCCACTATCAATATTTGAGGAAGAACACTCCTCGAGATTAATGTATCTAATCATCCCTATTTGGGCCGAGTTAGGGGTTCGTTTTATCGTTCGGGTGGAAATTCGCAAAGTAACAATTTAAGGCTTTCCCCCGGTTTGAGTGAGCACCAGTTGTTTCGAATCGAAATGCAATCGTGCGCCCACCACCATCGCCCAAGGCAATCCTAATAGTACAAAATAGGAGCGCACATCTATCACGAGCGCGTTGACGAGAACGTGTACTCGTCCAAGCTTTACAGCCACGTTTTCAATAATGCCTACAATATTCATTGCTTATTCGTCGGTAGAGACATAATTGACTTTGCCAGATTGAGGAAGAATGGATCCGAGTCGTCCCGTCTTTCTGACAGTGTCTAATGATATAGCTACTGCAGAAGACCCTGTGTCGATAAGGGGCTTAAACGGCTTGCCCCAAATCTCGCAATCACACTCTGCGTTTTTCCATAGCACCGGCCGAGCTCGTACGAAGTGATCTTTCTCTACTAAAGATATCGCTGCTATTCGTGCAGCCTCAGGTTCGCCGGCTTCGGGTTCGGGTTGTGCCACTTTCTCATTTTCTTCCTTCTTCTTTAACATCCGTTGTATGCGCTCATAGGTGAAGGGCTTTTGATTTTTGTGGCAATGTTGTAAAAGCTTATCATTCGCCGCTTCAGATATGGTGACCAGATGTCCCACCGGGATCGAAACACGAATATCCAGTTGTTAGAGTGCTCGTAGCACGTCAATCTCTCCTGTTCGGAACTGCGGACCAGGATTTCATTCGCGATCGACCCATTCGAGATCATCAGGGGCCGATCGGATTGCTCCGACCATGCCTGCAAGATGAAGATATTCGAGTGGATCGACCACGTCCGCAGCGTCAGAGGGAGAAGCTCCTGATGTCGACGCCATTGTCGTCGAGGGGGAAGGCTGCTCTCGGGCATATGCCACGAGCTCTCCTCCCTGGGCTGTATCCATCAAAGCGGCCACTCGTCCTTGATTCAAGGCCACGGGGGCCGCCGCAGATGGGGGCTGACTACGTTTTGGCTGCGGGCAGTCTCGGTCGAAATGTCCGGGCTGTTTGCAGTTAAAACACTCGATCTTTCCTGCTGGATTGGCTAGGTGAGGGAACTGAGGTTTGTACCCTGGAGCAGGCGGGGCAGGTAAGAGCGGAAATGATGCGGGGGCTGGCCGAGCAGAGGCCGGGTTAGGCTTGATTAGCCTACTCATTATTTGTTCCATCCGTTCCATGTGAGCGGCTTGCATTTGGATCAGGTTGCTCATCCATTCGGACTGCTTGGAAGTGGCCGTATGGATCATCTCGGCAAGGTGTAAGTTGGTTATGGCCGGCGAGGGGGGTTCGGGTGAGATTCCGCTTTTAACGGCTGCGATCGATTGATTCACCGGGGGAGGAAGAAGAAGCAGGCGGGATATCGGAAACGATCCCGCCGGGAAGGTCATGGTCGGGGCGGGGATAAAAACGTTCGACCGCCTGCAACCATAATCGCCTTTTAACCGTTACATCCCGTATGGTATCTGTAATGTCTTCGTTTCCCTGGCTGATATACTTTTTCGTATCAGCCAGTTCCAGTTCCAATGCTTTAGCGATGATAGCCGACAACTGGTGTGTTTTGGACGGGACCTTTTTCTGCAGTTTGCCTTTCAATGTCGGACTTCGTAGATGGTCGATGAACAAATCTCGAGCGGATTTCTCGTCTCACCCAGATTTGTCCAGCGTGGTTTGAAATCGATCGATGAAATCGGGCAACAATTCCCCTGGTCCTTGTGGCCGATTTTTGGGCACGTACCATGCAGCATCTTCACTGACCGTATCGAATCGAGCCAAGAAGGCTTGCTTGAAAGTATCCCAATCTACCCACGTATGTTTTCTAAACCAGTCATGCGACGTATTGCGGAGTAGCAATGTTAGAACGCGAGGAAGATCGGCTGCGCTGTAGTTTTGAGCTTCTACAGCTTCCAGCAAAGCCTCAGGATGGGTAGGATTGAGGAAGAAAGGGAAGGGGGCGGGGATGCTAACGATCACTCGAGTACCGTCCACCATTAGTGCCGCGGGTGCAGCCGCACCAGACTCAGACCGGGTCACTGGGCGATCCTGACGAGCTAGTTAAAGGCCTCTCCTACCTCTTGCCAGTTCGACTTACTATCATAAGAACGACACGTGTCGGCTCCGATACCAACCTCACGCCCTATGCTGTCTTTCGTTCGGAGTGTTAGGCATGCGGAAAAAGGCCCAGAAAAACAGCAAGATGGGGTGTGCCAAGGATTTTTGGAAATTGAGTGTGGGGACACAGATGGAACTGAAATCCCCCGTGTTGGTCTAATGAAGCAAGCCGATTGCTTTCGCGCGTCGCGAAATGCACGTGCGGGCACGGCGCGAAAAGAGAAAAATCCAAATTCAATCCAAAAAGTATTGCCGGGCTTCCCACCAGGCTACAGCCCGTCGTTTAGAACGCAAAGGCTTTGGCACGCTCCGCATGTCTCTTTTTCATATCAAATCTCGTCGTCGTTCGATGGTCAGTTCCGAGTCCGACGTGGATGGTCTCAACCGCATGACTCTTTCTTTATGCTCGTCTTCACTCCGCACACGGTAGTGGAAACCCCTGGATTCGTAGCGCTCAAAACGCTGGCATTCGGTGCATAGAGTGCGCAGCCAGTGGGGTTCTACTGCCGTCCACAGGATGACGATCAACTCGTTGAATGGCAACAATATCGAGTAAGGTGGGAAGCGCGTATCGATAATGACAAACCCAGCCTCTACGAACCCTGAACAACGATTTGCCGGGGGGAAGTAGTATCGTCCGCCGATTTGTGCAAYGGCTTCTCGCACGTCCCACTCACATACACGTGTCCTTCCCTCGTTATACGGAAAAGGCCGTGTTGGGACGGGAGGTACGGGAGGCTGGTGCCCGAT